AAGCCTCGCTGCAAAGAGTCCCGGCCACCAAGCAGTCAACCTATTATTGCTGTTGCTCCCTGCCAGGAGCATGTGTAGATCTCTCTGAAGGAATGTGACACCAAAGGCCTTAAATGATCTCTATGGATTCCACTTATAATGTCTGACATAGAATAAAGAAGTGACCAGGCATGGTGGCACATGCGTTTGGTCCCAGCACTGGGGAGGCAGAAGCAGGTGGATATCTGTGAGTTCGAGTCCAGCCTGGTCTACATAGCATGCCATGTCTAAAATAAATACATAAATAAAATGGCTGTATGAGCGCTCAAGGTGATCCAATCAAAACTGAGTGTCTCTTTATACAACACAACAACAAACCCATATTAAAATCCTTAGAGACTTTTAAGATACGTTGATCAGCTGGGCGTTGGTGGCGCACGCCTTTAATCCCAACACTCGGGAGGCAGAGGCAGGCGGATCTCTGTGAGTTCGAGGCCAGCCTGGTCTACAGAGCGAGTTCCAGGACAGCCTCCAAAGCCACAGAGAAACCCTGTCTCAAAAAACCAAAAAAAAAAAAAAAAAAAAAAAAGATACGTTGATCAACCAAAATGTTCTTGAAAAAGAAAACTGGAGAACTCTAACTATAAAAGTACAATATTAAAATTCTGTGATAGGGGCTGGCAGGATTGCTCAGTGGGTAAGGCTGGTTTACACCAAGCAAGGTAGCCTGAGTTTGATTCCTGGATCCCACAGAGTGGAGAGAGCCAAGTTGTCTTCTAACCTCCATACACGCCATAGCATGCACACTTCCCCCCATATAAATATGTGCTAAATTAAATTGTGAGCCAGGCGTTGGTGGTGCACACCTTTAATCCCAGCACTCGGGAGGCAGAAGCGGGCGGATCTCTGTGAGTTCAAGGCCAGTCTGGTCTACAGAAAGAGCTCCAGGACAGCCTCCAAAACAATACAGAGAAACCCTGTCTCGAAAAACCAAAAAAAAAAAAATTAAATTATGATAAAAATGTAAATGCAGACTATGGACCAAATGGAGCAAAATGACAGAGCCCAGAAATAACCCCTCACATATAGTCAAGTCAGCAAGGCTACGTGATGAGGAAAAGACAGATTTTCACCACACAAGGCTAGAAAAACTGCATAGGCACATAAAAACAAAACAAAACAAAACAAACAAACAAACAAACAACAACAAAAACACGTAACTCATACCAAACACAAAGTTAATGTAAAATAGAACAAAGACCTAAACAGAAGATGTAAACATCTAAGGGGAAAGCTTGGGGGGGGCGGGTGTCTGGCAATGAATCCTTAGATATGACAATCAAAGAAAAACTACTTAATTATGGCTTAATAAAAATTTAAAACTTTTCACATGTCAGGGCTCATGTCAGTGTGACACAGAGCCCCTCTGTCTGCTTAGACAGGATGCAGAAGGCTTCCCAGATACTGGCAAAGCTATGTCCCTCACAGACAGAGGAGACAGCAGGGGAAGCAGCAGGGCTCAGCACACGTGTTACACATCCTGATACACGCAGTTCAAGGCCCTAGAACTAAAGGCACATGCCCGGAATCCCCGCCAGCATGGCTTACATAAGAGTTTCAGGGCAGCCTGGGTTACATAAGAGTTCCAGGGCAGCCTGCGCCAGTGTGAGATCTTGCTACAAAACAAATGAAGCAAAACACACTGAAAAGATCAGAAAGAATCTTTAAAACACAGTAGAAATCATAAGGGAAGACGGTTAAAAGTTGATTTTAAAATTCAGTAATAAAACCAGAGAGACAAAATTTGTTTAACTCTTAATAAAATGGAAAACATTTTAGATATAAAAACATTTAGGATTTTTTTAACATTTATGATATTTTTAAAGCTTACTTTGTATATTTACAGACATATCTAAAAATTCTACTTAGTCAAATCCTCAACAAGGGACAACTGGCTAGCCACTCTAATGTCAATGAGATGTGTGAAGATAGAAAGCATTATTGGGGATGAAGAAGGCCACTATCATATAATGGTAAGAAGGAAATTTTACCAGAAAGCAACCCATTATATATTTACATGGGCTGAATAATATTACTTCAAAATATTTTAAGCAAAAAATTAGCAGAAACCACACTGAAGATTCAAAATGACAGAAGGAACTTTTGGTGTAGCTCCTTAGTTATTGACAAACCAAACAGATAAACACGGAGGAAGGCTATCAGGGAAATAAGAAGCTTGGACGAATGGACATGAACGACCCTGCACCCATCACTTGGAATCAACTTCCTCCTCTAGCATAGGTTGACCACTTCTGTCCATGAGCCAGGCTTCAGTGCCAGTTTTAGCCATCATCAAATATTTTAGCCATCATCAAATATTTTTTCTTTTTTTAAGACAGAGTCTCATGTTGTCTCCCAGGCTGGCCATGCAGCACTCCTACTGTCTCCAGCACCCTGAGTAGTGAGACTATCCATGTGAGCGCCATGCCCAAGAAACGCTGAAGAATTCATATCAGTCCCTCAATTAAAATGTTAGCTTAAAATCACTTATTTAAAAGACTGACTAGATACATTATATAAAGAAAGCCAGAGTGTGTTCTGAGAAAGTTCAATGAAGAAAAAGTACAGACAAGGGGAGAAAATGCCACATTGCATGCGGGGAGAGATTGTATCAGATCTGTAACGCATATTCAGGCATCACCACTGTGGTATTTCTTTTCTTTTTCTCATTGTGGTATTTCTTTTCTTTTTTTTTTTTTTCCCTAATTCACTTACCTGTTTTACTACAGAATACTGATCACTGGTTCAAAGGTAAAACTATTTCGAAAACCTCACCATGAATAATGGATCCTTCAGTCAATACAAGATACATTTACAGGTGGCGATACGGAATGGGGCTATTTATATTCCAGTCAGAGTGCTGAGTATGTAAATGACCCCAAGTATAAAGTTACAACTTTCACATGTTTCTGTAGAAGTCCACATGGAGAAAAAGTCAGCTTGGATTTGTGGCAGGCGGAAGGATTAGGGGGGAAAGTGGCTTAAAATAGGAGTGGGTTTTGAATGTGGCTACCTAACAAGAGGCAGAATAGTTGAAAATTCAAGGTAAGCAACATAATCAAAGTGCATCTAATAGAAACAGCACTTCCAGATCAGGCACTGACCAAGCATGAAGTGAGGGTCACAAAGGTAGGTTTGGTACCAAACTGTAAACGGCTAAGCAAACAATTAATGTTTTACTTCAAAGGTAGTTGATGTGCAGGTGAAGGGTCTGTTCAGTTTTCTTGATTTATCTGGTACAGCGATGTGAATGGGACTCCAGGACTTAAGTTTGTAGACTATTTCTGTTGGACAAGCCTGGGGCCTGAGCTAGTAGAACAGTGGTAAAAACAGATAGGACTGAAGAGATTAAGGGCAAAGAAGAAACCTGAATTGACAACTGGCTGAACCAGCAAGACCAGTTAGAAGTGAGTCTGTTTCTTGATGGCAAGATGCTTGGGGACACAGGAAGTAGGAAGGGATAGAAAATGAATTTATCACGCTTGGATGTTGGTATTTCAGTCTGTTAATGAGAACTATATTAGAAATGTAGTCCTGAAGTCCAGGGAAAGCAATTTATTTTCTTATAAAACAATGCATGATTTAAAATGTCTCTCCTTCAATGCTCCTGAACACTCAAGACTCCCTGTTCTTTGACTCTCAGCCTTCCTTGTCCTTCCATCCCATGCAGCCCTGACTCCTCATCCTCCAGGATGCTGAACAACTCTTGGTTACATGATTCATTCACTGCCAGAAAGGACCAACCCACTAACCTCTTGCAGTGACAATATGCTGACCAGCCTTCAAAGCCTTCATTCTCTACCCATCCCAAACGCAGAGCGTGGTTTCAGCTACTTGTTAATTACTGTTCAAAACTGGAAATCAGGAAGAAACTAGATACATTTTTAAATTTAGTATTTTACAAGAAAAACTGACTATTCTCATTCATTGAGGGTAACTATTTGGAAATGCACTAAAAATACACTTATCTAAGTAAAAATGCTGCAGAGGCAACCAAGCTTCCTTCCCTTTTTAATGAATCTCCAAATCCTGGTATTCCTTTTTTTTTTTTTTTGAGACAGGGTTTCTCTATGTAATTTTGGAGCCTATCCTGGCACTTGCTCTATAGACCAGGCTGGCCTTGAACTCACTGCGATCCGCCTGCCTCTGCCTCCTGAGTGCTGGAATTAAAGGCGTACACCACCAATGCCTGGCAATCCTAGTATTCTTAATACTGCCTTTTGTTGTTTTGACACAGGGTCTCACTGTGGTAGCCCAGTCTGGCCTCGAACTCATAGAGATCCACTTGCTTCCACCTCCCTAGTGCTGGGATTAAAGGTGTGCTCCCTCGTGTCTGACTTCAGTGCTCTGTAAACATTCAGTGCAGACATCTCAACGGTTCAAATGTTCTGACCACAATGTGATTAAGCTACACATTAAGGGATTATAACAAAGAAAAAATATAGAGAGATTTAAAAAAGTCATAATGGAAAACTTTAAAATAAGAACTGAATGAATAATTGGAATTTGGAGGATGACCTATGATGTCTTTCAAATCTCTTAAAACAGTAGGTACTATGTATTAGAAGAGAAAGTTAAAGAGCAGTTAGTTATTTTGTTATTTATGTATTCTAAGTTTAAAGCAAAATGTCTTGTTTGGGTTTGTCATACTAGTGATTTCTCATGATGTTTTGCTAGCAGTGTTGAACAGACTGCTTTCCCTAAACTGCTGCAATTCAGAAGGCTCTCTCCGGCGTGCTGTTTGTAATCTGTCTAGGTCGATAAGGACTGAGACAGTTTTGAAAATGAACACCACACTGAGGCTTTGTTTTGTTTTCTTCCAGAAATTATATAATTGTCCTACATAAAGAGAACAGAGCATGCCCACTCCCCTCCATCTTACACTGTTTACCTTTTAAATCCCTACTCAAGTCAAACGATGAGAACTGCCATCACCCTCTCCCCCAGTCCATTTCACTCACCTACAGAATGGGCTGGGAATAGTAGGTATCACATAACAAATCCCCCCATTCAGGCAAAATGACCTGAGGCTGGGGCCACAGGGCTCCTCGTGATCTACAATACACATGCATATGAAATAGAGAAAGCTGGTTAACCTCTTCTGATGCCGCCAAGAATTGGAATGTCTCATCTAAGAATTAATCAGCATTTATGAGAGAATGATTTATTTTTTCTCAAAGTGAAACAATCTTATTCTGCATTTCACAGGCAAGGCTGTCTATCCCTTTGAAAGAAAAATCATTCTGTCCTAAGGGTATGGCTGCAGATAATAATAAATTTAGAAGCTATATAACAGAAATAAGGAATCTTCACAGTTAGACTACAGCACAGTAATGGGGGGCTTGCTACAAAGTGGACCTGTCCCTGGAGCAGTTCGGAGATTCAGTGTGGCATAGACACTTCCTGAACAAAGCTTGTGTAGATTCTGACTCTACTTTTTATGTCTCAAATATATTTTTAAAATTCTGAAATTGCAGTGGGAAAAGATTTAGATAAGTGAAGTAGATTCTGATTCCTAAAAAAAACAAAAACAAAAACAAAAAACCCTACATATCCATGTCAAAACCCAAAGAAATATAATCTAATAAGGTTTGATTTGCAAGGGTATTTCAGTTATAGCTTGAAGCTGTAAAGAGTAAGGCCTTAAGGAAAACCGAAAACTTAACCTGTTGCTTAGATACAGCCTAAGCGGTCAGAATATCAAAGAAAAGAGCCAGGCATTCTCTGCTTTCTCTTTTCCCTACTTTTTCTCCTGATCCACCTTCTCTTTCACCCTTTGACCTTTCATCAACTACTCTTTATGACGGGGAAATTGAGAACTTCTCCTTAAAGAGACTGTCATATTGCTTCAGGATTGCATGCTGCCCGTTCCTGTCCAGAATCATCTACTGTGAAGAAGAAAATGCCATTACTTCCATGTGGCATTCAATTTGGAATTTAAAAATATGCCATTAAAAAATCCCGCTAATATAATGACTTCCAGAATACTGATATCTGTTAAGATATAATTGCAAGGAGCTCAAAATGCCCAGTCTGAATTTGAAAAGCTTAAATTTTCCTTTTACTTTGGAAATGAGAAAAAAAATGTTCAGCTTCACATGGCAGCTAGGAAAGCATATAAAAAATATAAAATGTAAAGAGGGGAAAACTAGATCTACAAAGACTAAGTGTTAAAAAGAAAGTGAATTGGCCCAAACTAGTTTTTTTAGACTCCCTTTTCTTTTCCTGTACAATGCCATGCTTCTTAATAATCTAACTTCCAACGTTATATAGTATTTTAGGAGTGATTTGGCTAATAAATAAAATGCCAATATTATTCCATCAGAATTAGGAAAGGCAACAGGTTTTAAAATTAGGGATGGAATGTGACTGTCACAACTGGAATCAATGTCTTTGATTTTAACCGCATTACAGACGCTCTCGGAAATACCTGGTGTTTTATCAGTAAAGAAACTCACCTGACCTGAATTACTACCTCTGAATCTAATTTTATTCAGATTTCATTCACTTAGTATTTGAGAAGTTGATACCAGATAGAAAGCTAGAATCTACCACTTTGTAAAAACAACAAAAAACCAAACAAAACATTTAAATAAGAAACAAAATAGTTTTATGTTATATAGGTGTTTTAAAACTAATATTTTTGGAAGGTTTTGCATGGAGGACAATATAGCTTTATATTAATATACATTTGTTGTCTTATTGCTAAATAAAACTCACACATAGACAAAAAGTATGAACTTACAAGAAATTACCTGTTGGCATCTTAATTTTTAAATAGCTTCATTCTTGGTGAAAAGGATTAGGGTTGAAAGACCGCACCTAAAATAATTCAAAATTTATATTTTAGGGGAAATTATCTTGCTTTTAGCTACACATGTAACCCTGAACATGAACAGAGGAAAGAAAGATCAACATTAAAAGGTTGGCTTTGGAGAAATGCTTCAGTGTTGCCGAATGTGCATGGAGACATGCAGCAGCATGTTCAACTGAGCCATCTGAAGGGACATTTGTGCTTTTCCATGAAGCCTCTCAGAAAGCTAACGTCTCAGGAGAACCCATAACCTCCCAGTTTTTCAACTTGCTGAAAATGGTCAAAGAGCATTTAAAAAGTTTTGCACCTCTGTCACAACTTTAAAACTTTTATAAGAACACTTCTAAGTTTAGTAGAGGTCACACATTCCACTTGTCAATCAATTGACAGATGCCCTTCTTTAAAACAGTGTCCGACATTTGGCAAGGCAAGGTGACAAGCTGGTGTGTGACATTTGCTATTATAACACAAGCATTAAAAAGAGCTGAGGAGGTGAAGCATCTGTACTTACATTGTGATTGCAAGCTTGTGACGTAGCACACAGACTGTGGTGGAAAGTTTAGTCTACATTTCATATAAGAACAGGTGCAATATTCAAGTTTTTCCTAGACCTATTTCTTTTACAGACAAACAGAAGGAGAGGGAGGGAGGGAGAGAGAGAGAGAGAGAGAGAGAGAGAGAGAGAGAGAGAGAGAGAGAGAGAGAGAGAGAGAGAGAGAGAGAGAGAGAACAACCAAGAACAAACACACATGCACAGTCAAAAGTATATCACTGACTCATTCTGACTTTTACCCCCCCCCCCAAATGAACAGGGCTTACCTCAACAACAATTTATATTCCCATACAAAAATTAAATTTTGCTAGCTAGACATGCAGAGTTTCCCAAATTTTCGAACACTGAGAGCTCCGGCAGTGACTTGCCCTTTACAGCATGTCAAAAATCTGATTAATGTGGTTTCAGTGCGGGCGAGGTCGAGGCAGACCAAGGTGTGCACAGAGGTCAGGAGCAGGCAGCCCGGGGAACCACTCCCACGTGTTTCCAAACTGCAATCGGGCAGGGCTTCGCCCAGAAAAGGAGCTGCACTCAGTGGCACCCCTACCATGCTGTCCAAGCTCCAAGTTATGAAATAAGCCACATTCTTTAGAGTCTTCACTGATCTCTGCATGTCTTGATAACTCACAAGTATTATGTAAGCGTGTGGAGAAAACGGGATATTGATGTGAAACTAAGGAGCTTAAAAAAGAATTTCCCTGTAAACTATGTACAATCTATATGTAATGACCTGGACTTATGAAACTGAAGACAACAGCAGTTGTAACAGAGCTCACGCCTATGGTGCCAACCTGAAATGATGCAACTAATGGGTCTGACAATATAAGCCACCTGAGAACTGTGACAAGGTCATTTGTGCGTGCTGCTATAATCTCCTTGAACTTGTGTGTACAAGTCCCGCTGTGGCTCCTTGCAGTCATCCATCCCCTGTCTCGTACAATCCTCCTGCCTCGTTCCGCATAGATCCCTGAGCCTCACATACACTAAGAAAAGTTAAATCATGCTTTAAAATGTTAATCTATAAATCTGTTTACATGAAGTATGGGTGGTCCTTTCACATACTTATATAAAGTATTCTAAGTATTTAGATGGTTATATATTTTTTTAAATCACAATTCAGGACAACATCATTACTTCATGGGTATAAAAGACAGAAATAAATACATTTGTTCTCTAATATATATATATAATATATATATAGAATAAGCTTTTGACTACAGACTTATTTTCATTGTTACATATTACCTCCCACATTCAAAGGGAATTTTTATAGCTATAACAACTACATATATATGTATATATAAACTATATATTGCTATATATTAATAAAATTTTTATAGCTGTAGTCACTACATACATGTATATATACATACATACACACACCCATATAGGTCATTTTAGCATATAGTATTTGAGACTGAAAATGAGATGATAAAAATATCCCTTATTTTCATATGTCAATATAACAATTAGCATAGGATTGAGCACTAAAAGTGTATGTGGGAAATCACTTGATCTTAAGCCATTCAAGATGTATTTATTAAGAGACATATCACAACAATTTGTATTGAGTATCTTTTATACACTAGAAATAACAAGGAGAGCCATGTAATTCCTTATTTTATTAAGACAGAATCTTTCTGTGTGGCCCAGGCTTACTTAACATTTATAGTTCTCTTGCCTTAGCCTCCCAAATGCTGGGTTTGCAGATGTGAGCTACCTGGATACATATGATTCTGTTTTAGAAAATAAAATTTAAGCTAGCATTTTACTGAATGGAAGCCCTGGTACTTAAGAACAATTTCTCCAGTTACCTGTGAACAAGTGTGCTAAGTGGTAACTATCTTTTAACAAATGCACACTTCCTATTGGTCACAAACATAAAACAAGCAACTAAAAACAGTCTTGGCTCATTTGTTATTGTGGTTTGGATCTTAAATGTCCCCCCCTACCCAGCATTTATGTGTTGGGTGGTTTGGTCTTTATCTGATGGCATCACTGGGAGGTGACAGACTTTAGGAGATGGGATCTAGTGGAGGAAGTTAGGCCATTTGGGATGGGCACTTTGCTGGGACATAGGGCCCCTGGTATATCCTGTTTCCTGGACATCATGAGATGAAGAGCTTTGCTCCATGTTCTTTGAGGTGATGCTCTGATGGGGAAGTCCTGTGTATATGTCAATAAAGCACTGTTGGCCAACAGGGAAGCAAGATAGGTGGGACTAGGAGTCCAGGAGGACTCTGGGTAGGAGAAACACAGGGAGTCATCATGTAGCTGCCTTAGGGGTAAGAAGCCCAGACCCTTTTCTCCGGTAAGAGAAATACATAGATTAACAATTATGGGGTAAATACTTAAGTCAGAGCTAGCCAGTAAGAAACAAGCAAGTCCAACAGCTTCATAATTAATACAGCGTCTTGTGTGTTATTTGGGGACTACAACGTGGCAGAGCCCAGGTGACTGGTAGGGAAAAACCAAAGTGGCTGGGAAGGAAAAGGCTTCACTCTACAATGCTCTGTGAGCCAAAATAAATAACTCCTTTATTTTACGTCTCTTGTGTTTTTCCATTGACAGAAAGCTGACACAAAAACTCACGTGAGATTTTTACTTAGAACAAAGATAATTTCGTATGGCTCAATCTACAATTCTCATCAACTCTTATGTATGTGTGCTATTTTATTATTTAAGACAGAGTCTTGCTGTGTAGCCCACATTTAACATTTACATGCTGATGTATGATCCTAATGAACTATTTTATATTACTCGAAAAGCTGGGAAACAATAAAAAAAGTACTTGTATTATTCAGACGATCTAATTAGTGTTCGTGGATAGATTCATGAGGCATGCAGGGATAATACACCTTTTTTTCATGAAGTAAGGTCTCTTTTCTTACCCTCTTGAAGATGATTAAAAATCACTCTACATTTTATCTGCATTTTATTTGACTTCTTATAGGTAGGAAATTAAAGAGTAATGTGATTAATTTTAGCATCACAAACATTAGCCTGTTAACCATGCTATTTGTTTCAGGCATTTCCCTTTCATTTCCTTAGACATCATCTCTTGCAAAACTCTCCTCCCCCTGTATCTGAATGGCTGTCCTCTAGAATCGCTACTGACCACACAAGCTGTTGTCTCAAAGCTTCTCTTCCCTGGATTGAGTCCTGTTTCCTAGATGCCCTGTCTCCCATTGTGTTCACTCTCGTTTGGTAGGAACTCATCACCTAACTTTCTGTACCAGGACTCAGTATATACTTTGAGCTTCTGCATAATGAACGACATTCCTTTTCTCTTTACACATGACAGCATTCAGCTGGTCATACCAATGTACACTGAAAAACAATACTGTACCGTTATCTTTCAGAATGCAGCAGCAAAGACCAGAGTGCCATGACTGTTCAATCATTAAAACCTTGCTAGTTACCAATTTTCCTTTTTTTTAACACTTTTTATTATATATTTAAATTAGAAACAAGCTTGCTTTGCATGTCAGTCCCAGATCCCTCTCCCCACCACACCCACTCCCCACCCCACTATGCCCACTCCCCTGCCCCCCACCAGCCCCTTCAGCCCCCCACCCAATCCCCACTCCATTTCCCAGGGAGTGTAAGGCCCTCCATGAGGGATCTCTAGAGTCTGTCATTTTGTTCCCGGGAGGGCCCAGACCCTTCTAGTTATCAATTTTCTCATCTCCCCTGAGTATGTGAAGTTTTTTATTTCTGCTGAAGGTTCTAAAATTTCATAAGAATGTTACCTAAACTTATCCTTGGGAAAGTTTTCAAATAGTGCTGGATAGCCATGTGGGTCCTTCCCAGCTGAGGGCTTGTTGTAGTGTAAGGTTTAACTCTTTTGGCTTTTGCGGGGGGGGGGACACAACCCAACTCCAAAATAAATCATACACAGAGGCTTACTCCTAGTTATGAATGCCCGGCCTTAGCTTGTCTTGATTCTAGCTAGCTTTTCTTAACTATAATTAACCCATTTACCTTTCTCCTCTGGGCTCTTATCTTTCTTACTTCTGTATATCTTACTTTTCTTCTTACTCTGTGACTGGATGGATGGCTGGGTGGCTGGTCCTGGATGTCCTCCTCTCCATGTTCTCTCGCTGCTCCTCTCTCCTGCCCTGTTTCTCCTATTTATACTTTGCCTGCCAGATCCTCCTATCCTTGCTCCTGCCTTGCTATTGGCTGTTTGGCTCTTTATTAGGACCATCAGGTGTTTTAGGCAGGCAAAGAATCACAGCTTCACAGAGTTAAACAAATGCAGCATAAACAAAAGTCACACACCTTAAAATAATATTATACAGCCTGTGCTCTTTAAACTTCAAAAATCCATCTATTACAGGTTTTGCTAGCTTATTCCCCTCTACCGTAGTACTCTGTAGCATAGATTTGGGGAATTCTAGGTTTATCTCCATCACATCTACATTTTGTTACATGACCCATTTTTAGACAAATTTCCAACTGCTTTTCAGCTGCACCTTGCTGCATTCTTGCCTTTGACTTAGGAATACATCAATAAAGATCTCTCTGTTTGCATATCAATCCCATATCTGTTATTAAGGAATGCAATAACTTATCTAATTTCTCCCAATATATGAGTTAAAAACATCTTTAGGACTGGAGACATGACTGCTCTCCCAGAGGACCAGAGTTCAAGTCCTAGCATCCACACCAGGCACTGATACCTACCTGTAACTCCAGCTGCAGTGGCACTCAACATGCATATATCCACAATACATGTAATTAAAAGTAAAATCTTTTTTAAAAGACAGTATTTCTAGGTTCTGTTTGGTTCCCTTCATTTCTTGACTTCCAGGACCAGTATTAGTTATCGGGATCTTCTCTAATCCAAGTGCTTTTCCTTGACTATTTGAGAAGCCTTGACTGTTCATGTTTGAGCTGTTTGTTCTTGGTTGGCTCTTCCAGATAAGAGGTGCAGATTCCGCTGATATTGCGAAAGTACATCTGCTTCCCAGCAGACCTCACACCCTGATGGGAATAGCATTCTGTACTCCCTGTACCTGGGCAGAACATCTGACTGGCAGCCTTGTTTTTGGGAAGAGCTGGCTAGGAGCTGCTGACAGACAGCCCAGCTATCAGATGACACAAAGAGAGGAAACTTCTTTTACAGCAGATGTAAATCCATTAATACCCTAGGCCAGATTGCTTTTGTATGATGCTTCATCATGAGCATCATATATATGTACATATGTGTTACGTGTGTGTATATGTGCATGTGTGGAGGTAGGGTGGGGTGGATGGGGTCTGGGGGTGAGTTTGTTTCATGAGACAAGGTTTCACCTAGTTGAAGTTGGCCTGAAGCTATGTAGCCTAAGCTGGTCTTAGACTTGTGGCAATCCTCCTGCCTTAGCCTCCAAAGTGCTATGACTAGGGATAGGACTTGAGAGGAGAGCAGCCTGGTATATAAATCCAAGCAGAAATACCTGACAGTTTAAAAATACTTTAAGGATTACAAGCACTTAAAATCACACAGAATTACGTCACACAAGCTGCTATT